AAGGGAACAGATGGAGGGAAGGAAAGAAGGACAAAAGAAAGGAAAGGAAGAGAGAAAGTGAGGAGACAGAAAGAAGGAAAGAGAGAGAGAGAGAGAGAGAGAGAGAGAGAGAGAGAAAGCGGGACCAGAGAGAGAAGGAAGGAAGAAGGAAGGGAGGGAAAGAGGGAAAAGATGGAGGGAGAGAAGAAAGAAAGACAGAAGAAAGGAAGGGAGGAGAGAAAGTGAGGAGATAGAAAAAAGGAAAGAGAGAGAGAGAAAAAGAGGGACCAGGGAAGGAAGGAAGGAAGGATGGATGGAAGGAAGGAAGGAAGGAAGGAAGGAAGGAAGGAAGGAAGGAAGGAAGGAAAAGAGGGAACAGATGGAGGGAGGGAAAGAAGGACAAAAGAAAGGAAAGGAAGAGAGAAAGTGAGGAGACAGAAAGAAGGAGAGAGAGAGAGAGAGAGAGAGAAAGCGGGACCAGAGAGAGAAGGAAGGAAGAAGGAAGGGACGGAGGGAGGGAGGGAGGGAAAGAGGGAACAGATGGAGGGAGGGAAAGAAGGACAGAAGAAAGGAAGGGAGGAGAGAAAGTGAGGAGAAAGAGAGAGAGAGAGAGAGAGGGACCAGAGAGAGAAGGAAGGAAAGAGAGAGAAATGGAGGGAGGGAGGGAGGGAGGAGAGAGGGAAGGAAGGAAGGAAGGAAGGAGCAATCAAAATCGAAGGAAGAAAGTGAGAAATAGAGAGGGAAGGAAGGAGCCAGAGGAAGAATGGAGGAAGGAAGTGGTAAAAGAGAGACACAGAGAAAGAAAATAAATAAATGAAAGAAAGAAAGAAAAAGAGAAAAGAAGTAAGATAAACTGCATGAGTCTTTACTTTCTTGAATGAAAGGGCAGACTAGACTTTCAGTTTGGAAACTTGGAATAAGTCCAGCGCATCCCAGCAGGGTTGATGAGGCGTATAAAAACCAGAAGTCATACAAGGGGGGGCGTGTCTGGAGGGAACCAGGATGCTCAGCCTGGAGAAGAGAATCTGGGAAGACGGAGCGTGGGCGCCTGAAAAGTTTTCACACGAAGAAAGAGAAGGCATTTCCTGGACTTTTGTGGGTCTCCAAAAGGGGCTGCCATAAAGGAAGAGAAGACTCCCTCCCACCCCCATTACAATCCGCTTTCCCACACCCCTAAGGGAACTAGAATTCCCAAATTGATGTCTCTATGGTTCCTCTTTACTCCCACGCATTTATTCCGGTATTCAGTCGCAAATCTTTCCACACAAAATAACTGTCACCTACACCAGTGTTTCCCAACCTTGGCCACTTTAAAATGGGTGGACTTCAACTCCCAGGATTCCCCAGCCAGCCATGCTGGCTGGCTGGGGAATCCTGGGAGTTGAAGTCCACCCACCTTAAAGTGGCCAGGGTTGAAAAACAGTGATACCCTAGACCAGGGGTCTTCAAACTTGGTCCTTTTATGACTTCTGGACTTTAACTCCCAGAATTCCTCAGCCAGGCATGCTGGCTGAGGAATTCTGGGAGTTGAAGTCCACAAGTCATAAAAGGGCCAAGTTTGAAGACCCCCTGCCCTATACATTTATTGTGACATTAGGGAGTCATCTGATGCTCCTCCAGGGCTTCAAGACTCTGGGGAAATGGTCTCGTTCATAGACTTCTATGAAACCTAGCTTGTTGGCCGAAGAAAGGTGGTTAAAACTAGCCCAGTTTCAAAAGAGAGGGCTCTTAAAGAAATGATACTGGGAGTTTTCCAGCCCTTTCAGTGGTTCAAGCAGCACCTACTCCCAAGGTGTGAATGTGAGATCTGGTGTCTGAAACCAGAGATGCTGACCTTAGTTAAAGCTGCTTTTTAATTATTGGAAGTACAGCTTATTTTCCACAGAAAGTGATGGCACTAAGATTTCTAAGGTCTCTTGTTAAAAAGAGAGGGGGGGGGGGTAAAATCTGAAAATGCTGTTTTTTTTTTCATTCTTAAGTCCCAAGAGGACATGGGGGTGGGGGTTATGCTTGTCATTATACAGGTACCCCTTGACTTAATGGCAGTTTGAAATAATAATAGTAATAATAATAACAACAACAACAACAACAGAGTAGGAAGGGACCTTGGAGGTCTTATAGAATAGAATAGAATAGAATAGAATAGAATAGAATAGAATAGAATAGAAGCTGGAAGGGACCCTGGAGGTCTTCTAGTCCAACCCCCTGCTCAGGCAGGAAACCCTATACCATTTCGGACAAATTGTTGTCCAGTCTCTTGTTAAAAACTTCCAGTGCTGGAACATTCACTACTTCTGGAGGCAGGTTGTTCCACTAGTTAATGGTTCTAACCGTTCATCAGTGGAACAACCTGCCTCCAGAAGTTGTGATTTATGATTATTTTTTCACACTTGTGACCGTTGCAGCATTCCCCATGGGGACCTGATCAAAAGCTTGGCAATTGATTCCTGTTTATGACGGTTGCAGTGTCCTGGGGCCAGGCCATCCCCTTTGGCAATCAGTCACGTGACGATGAGTGGGAGACAGATGGTCCTCTAATTTAGTTTCTGCCAACCCAATAAATAAGAGATCTCCATTCCAAAATGCAGCCTGCCTTCCGTTCATTTCTGCAGCGTCTTTCTCCTGACTTGGAAGAGAACCAGATTTTTCTCGCAACACACAAATAAGCTACTATCCCACGGTCCAATATAGTGCATAAAACTTCCTATTGAACCATTGACAAATTCATGTTTTAAGCACAAAGGTGACTTCTGGAATGTCCCTTAAGTCCCCCATAAGTAACACAGTTTTGTTTTTTTTCTCCTTGTCCTTAAAATGTTAACCTCTGCAGAGTTTCCTAAGGACGTGCATTTTAGTCCCTAGCTGCAGCACCCAACTGTTCATTTCACACCCTTTAAGACAAGGTTGTGCCAGTTGACAGATGTTTCTCCTGGCTCTAGATGGTCTTTTTCAATTGGTGCAATCCAAGCCAGAAACTCAGACCCTCACAGCGTTTTAGGAGAGGCTGGCTGGCCAACATTTGCTAAGTCAGCTTGTTGGGAAGCTAAAAAGAGGAAACCCTGCGAGCGTGGATAAGCAGCAACTGTGTTGTGTGTTTGTGCTGCTGGTGGCCGATAAAACTCCAGCGGTTTTTAGACCAGTGTCTATGGCAGCGGTTCTCAACCTGTGGGTCGGGACCCCATTTGGGCTCGAACGACCATTTCACGGGGGTCGCCAAACAACGCAGTCCGCCATTTTTCCCCCCCTTTTCCTTAGCTGTGCTACTCCCTTTTATTCTATTGGCTTTCGAAAGCCAATAGAATAGACTCTCTTGAATAGAATCTAATTCTATTGGCTTTCAAAAGCCAATAGGAATTGTCCAGGTTGTCTCTGCCCTGCTGAGCCCACCAAAAGTCCCATTCTGCAAACGGGGCTGCACCAGTTGAGTAGTCCTTGACTTACGACCGATTGAGTAGTCCTCGACTTACGACCGGTTGGGGGTCGCGGCATTAAAAAGGTTGAGAACCACTGGTCTATGGAGAGTCTCAGTCACCCGGGCCACGGTTGTCCCGATGGTGTTTTTTTTTCAAGAGGCCTTGAAGACATTTCGCTTCTCACCCAAGAAGCTTCTTCAGTTCTAACTGACTGGTGGGGAACGGAAGGATTTGTATTCCTTGCAGTCATCTGGTTGTTAGTAGTACTCTGAAGGTTGGCTCTTAGCTCTCAGAGAGTTGTGGAAGAAACTTCGAGGTTTACCTGTACCTCAGGCTCACCTGAATCAGAGGCCAAATAGGTGAGGAATCTACTTGGGACTTTTGAAAGGACTGCATTGTAGATTGGAGACGTTGTTGTTGTTAGTTGCGAAGTCGTGTCCGACCCATCGCGACCCCATGGACAACGTTCCTCCAGGCCTTCCTGTCCTCTACCATCTTCTGGAGTCCATTGAAGCTCTCACCTACTGCTTCAGGGACTCCCTCCAGCCACCTCATTCTCTGTCGTCCCATTCTTCTATTGCCCTTCATCTTTCCCAGCATTAGGCTCTTCTCCAGTGAGTCCTTCCTTCTCATTAGGTGGCCAAAGTACTTGAGTTTCAACTTCAGGATCTGGCCTTCTAAAGAGCAGTCAGGGCTGATCTCCTCTAGGACTGACCGGTTGGATCGCCTTGCAGTCCAGGGGACTTGCAGGAGTCTTCTCAGATTGGAGATAGGTGATGTCATATCCCTCTCCCCCCCCCCCCCGTTGAGAGAGGGCTATTCAGTTTTGACGTAGACAGCCACTTTGACCCCTCTTTCAAACCAGTGTCCCTCTCTGTATGTCTAGTTTGTCTTTTCATTAATTAGTATGTTTAGTTTAATGAAAAGAAGGACAAGGGGGGACATGATAGCAGTCTTCTAGTATCTCAGGGGCTGCCACAAAGAAGAGGGAGTCAAGCTGTTTTCCTAAGCACCTGAAGGCAGGATGGAGACTAATCAAGGACAGAAACAATCTAGAATTAAGGAAAAACTTCCTGACAGTTAGAACAATTAACCAGTGGAACAACCTGCCTCCAGAAGCTGTGAATGCTCCAACATTGGAAGTTTTTAAGAAGAGACTGGACAACCATTTGTCTGAAATGGTATAGGGCAGGGGTAGGCAACCTTGGCTCTTTTATGACTGGTGGACTTCAACTCCCAGAATTCCTGAGCCAGCATGGCTCAGCTTGCAAACCTCTCCCTGTCCCCTCAGCATGGCTGGTTCAGGAATTCTGGGAGTTGAAGTCCACGAGTCATAAAAGAGTCAAGGTTGCCTACCCCTGGTATAGGGTTTCCTGCCTGAGCAGGGGGTTGGACTAGAAGTCCTCCAAGGTCCCTTCCAACTCTGTTATTTTGACCAGAACATGGACTTTGCTGTCTTCAAAAGAGCGACCTTTGTCTTTCAGAAGTAGATGGGCTGCTGAATCCTGTCCTGATGGGTTTGTCCTCCTGTGTTGTGCCAAGCCTTTGTGATGTGGTTGTTTTGTTTTTCGGCCGATCCGCTAACCAGAACTTTCTGACCCCCTCCAGAGTTGCCATGTCACCCTTCCTGAGGATTGGGCTGTCCAATTATGACAGTGGCCCCTACCTCCCATCGCAAGGAGACGTGATCGATCCCTATTGCGCCGTGATAGTGAAGGAGGCGATGGAGGCCGGTAAGCAAATACCTCTTTCTGCCTGACCATCCTTTGCAGTTGGGTGTGAGATGAAGGTCTTCTGTTCCCTTGAATTTCAATTGAGAAATTGGAGAGCGGGAGTTTCAATGATAGCTTAAGGTATTGTTTTCTCTTGGATTTTGACCTTAACCCCAAGGGACACTCTGAATCTCAATGAGGAAAGAAGAGACAAAGAATAGCTATTTAATCTTTTTTCATGCTGGTTCCTTTCCAGCTCAAAGTTATCCACTCCTCAAACTGTTGTTTTTTTAAAAAAACAAAACAAAATAAAAAAAACCCCATCAGGTCTCTATTTACCAATAAAGGAGAATATCTATAGTGGGTGCGATACCAGCACAGCTGCACAAAAGGGGTGAAGCTTGTGTTGGGACCGCTTTTATCGCTTCTCCATCCCTTTACTCTAAGGGTCTTCAAACTTGGCCCTTTTACGACTGGTGGACTTCAATACCAGAATTCCTCAGCCAGCTTCCATTTTGTTTGTTAGATTTAAGACAGGGGTCTTCAAACTTAGCCCTTTTATGACTTGTGGGCTTCAACTCCCAGAATTCCTCAACCAGCCACCATCCATTTTATTTGTTAGATTTAAGACTGGGGTCTTCAAACTTGGCCCTTTTATGACTTGTGGGCTTCAACTCCCAGAATTCCTCAGCCAGCCTCCATTTTGTTTGTTAGATTTAAGCCAGGGGTCTTCAGACTTGGCTGTTTTATGACTTGTGGACTTCAACTCCCAGAATTCCTCAGCCAGCCTCCATTTTGTTTTTTAGATTTAAGACAGGGATCTTCAAACTTGGCCCTTTTATGACTTGTGGACTTCAACTCCCAGAATTCCTCAGCCAGCCTCCATTTTGTTTGTTAGATTTAAGCCAGGGGTCTTCAAACCTGGCCCTTTTATGACTTGTGGACTTCAACTCCCAGAATTCCTCAGCCAGCCTCCATTTTGTTTGTTAGATTTAAGCCAGGGGTCTTCAAACTTGGCCCTTTTATGACTGGTGGACTTCAACTCCCAGAATTCCTCAACCAGCCACCATCCATTTTATTTGTTAGATTTAAGACAGGGGTCTTCAAACTTGGCCCTTTTATGACTTGTGGGCTTCAACTCCCAGAATTCCTCAGCCAGGCACGCGTGGCTGGGAGTTGAAGTCCACAAGTCATAAAAGGGCTAAGTTTGAAGACCCCCTGCTTTACTCACTCTGCACATCTCCGATCAATATCTTTAATTTGAGCTCTACAAATACAACAATACACATTTAATGCTTAAAGTCAGGGCCGCCCTCAGGTGATGGTCAAAATGGCGTCCGCTGTGGTGAATTCAAAGCCCCACCTACTTTTAAAAAAGTGGGTTGCAGATAAAACATAGTTGTGATCACACCCTCGTGGCCACCAGCTTATCTTTTCGCACTAAACCTGAGTAGAAAATAACATAAAACAGGCTCTTCTGTGTTAGAAATGTTTACAAGTAATCCTCGACTTACAACGAGCAACTAAATTTCATTTTTGATGTGTGCCGTGCCCACAGTAAAAAAATGACAATAAAGGTATCTTATTTCTTATTATTGTTATTTAGTGACCGTTCGAATTTACAACAGCACCCAAAATAATGACAGGAGTATTTTTCAGACTTAGGACCACTTCAGCATCCCCACGGTCACATGACCAAAATTCAGAAGCTTGGCCACTGACTCATATTTATGACAGTGTCCCAGGGGTCACGTGATCCCCTTTTGTGACCTTCTGACAAGCAAAGTCAATGGGGGACACCAGATTCACTTAAGAACCGTGTGACTCATTTAAGAACGGCAGGGATTCAATTAACGACCGTGGCAAGAAAAGTCGTAAAAAGTCGTAAAATGTTAAGTGAACACTGACTTAACCACCGTCTCATTCAGCAACAGAAAGTTTGGGCTGAATGGTGGTCATTAAGTCGAGGACCCCCTGTCAATCATGCTAATAATAAAGTCACTGCATTTTGCTGCAGCCTGCTCTGGAGAAATGCTCTTAAATAATGGACTTGCCAAGCTTAGTCAGTTAAATTGTAATTCAAGAGGGCCAGTAGGCTAAAAATAACTCCAGTTAATGCAGAAAAACACTTGGTCGCGCACCGAAAGGTCAGGGCAATTAATGCAATTTGCACACTCGGGTGCCTATACAGTACATATTCTCCACAACATCCTTCAGCCAATGAGAGAACTCACTAAGAAAATTTGAAAATCCTGTGGCATTTACTAAAATGAGTAACCACAGAACTAGGGGGCAGGTGAATATCACATTTGGTTTCTATCAAGTTCCTTGGTTTGTTTGTTTGTTTTTTGTGAATTTGACAAATGTAATTCATCAGATTTGAGACTATTTATACATTTTGGTTACATTCCCCCCCCCAAACATAAACATTTTCCTTTGGCGTTCAGAAAAGGCTATGAATTTGCATTGAATTATCGCTAGTCCTCGACTTACAACAGCTTGTGGTAAGTTTAAAGTTACAACGGCACTGAAAAAACTAACTCATGGCCGTTTTTCACACACACCATTGCAGCATTTGACCCCCGTGGTCAAAATTCTGATACTTGGCAAATGACTCATATTTATGACGCTTGCAATGTCCGGAGGTCACGTTTTGCGACCTTCTGACGAGCAAAGTCAATGGGTTCACTTTATAACCGTGTTACTCACTGAGCAGCTGCAATGATTCACTTAACAACTGAGGCAAGAAGGGTCGTAAAATAGGGGGGAAACTTCACTTAACAGCTATTTTGCTTAGCGATGGAATTTGGGGGGGGCAATTCTAGTTGTAAATCGAGGACTATCTGTATTGGAAGTTTTCTCCCGTTGATGAGGATCAGGAAAAGTTTGGAACAACTGAGAAAAATTGAGGGTGGAGAATATTGTCCAGCCATGAGATAGAGAAAGAGAGAGTGGGGGGTGGTAGGCATGTTGGGACCCAGAGGTGCGCATTTTGGCTGGTGTTTTGCGATGTTCCCTATGTTTTGATGGCATTGTGCGTATAAAAAAGGAATTACTACTGTCCATCCTAGAGAAAGGCCAAGTGTTTGTCCAGAAGAAGCCGACAATGTATCCACCTTGGAACAGCACTTTCGATGCCCACATCCACAAGGGCCGGGTCATGTCCGTTGTGGTGAAGGACAAGACGGCGGAGATGGTCTCGGAGACCACCGTGGAACTCAACCTTGTTGCTGAAAAATGCAAGAGAAATAACGGGAAAATTGAAATTTGGGTAAGTTTCAACACAGTGGACCAGCATTAATTTTTAAAAGCTTTCATATATTGGGCTTCAGTCATCCTCCCTCCCTCTTTTTCCTTCCTTCCTTCCTTCCTTCCTTCCTTCCTTCCTTCCTTCCTTCCTTTCTTCCTTCCTTCCTCCCTCCTTCTTTTTCTTTTTTCTTTTGATTTCTTTCCTTCTATCCTCCCTCCCTCCCTCTTTCTTTCTTTCTTTCTTTCTTTCTTTCTTTCTTTCTTTCTTTCTTTTTTTCTTTCTCTTTCTCCTCTCTCTTCCTTACTCCCTCTCTCTCTTCTTTCTCTTTCTTCATCCTTCCCTTCCTCCTTCTACCTATCCCTTCCTCCCTTCCTCTTTCTTTCTCTCTGTCTTCTTTCTTTTCCTTTTCTCTCTCCTTTCCTTTGTCAATTTGTAAAACCCCGCTTCCATAGTAAGCCCGGACTGGGTATATTATTAAAAAGAAACCTCTGATTTAAAAGAAAAAAAAAACTCTGACTGCATTCCAATTTTCTTTTTTAAATTCTATTTCATTGTCTTCTTTTTCAGCTTGAACTAAAACCCCAAGGAAGGATGTTAATGAACGCAAGATACTTTTTGGAAAGTACCGGCAAGTATCAATATTGCTCATGTGCTTTTCAGGGCTTTTTAACATTCCACCCCCATTCCTGCCCAACTTGAAAGCAAGAATATTTTGAAATAAAAATTTAAAAATTGATCAGGGCTGCAGAAAAATTTCTCAGCACCCCATTTTTCCACACACGGGTAGTCCTCGTCTTACGACCACACAATGGAGCCCCAAATTTCCATTGCTAAGCAAGATAGTCGCTAAGCGAGTTTTGCCCCATTTACAATCCCTTGACAATTGTTAAGTGGTTAAGTTGTTAAGTTAGTAAAATGGTCGTTAATTGAATCTGACTTCCCCATTGACTTTGCTTGTCAGAAGGTTGCAAATGGGGATCACGTGACCCCGTCATAAATATGAACCAGTTACCAAACATCCGAGTTTTGATCACGTGACCATGGGGATGCTGCAACGGTCGTAAGTGTGAAAAACGGCCGTAAGTCACTTTTTCCTGTGGTGTTGTAACTTCGGCCACTAAATGAACTGTTGTAAGTCGAGGACTACCTGTATTTACTCGTCTGAGTTCTCCCTCTATATTTATTTTATTTTATTTATTTTATTTATGAGACTTATATACCGCTTTAAGTGCAAGCACTCTCTAAGCGGTGTACACCAGTAAGCAATGTATATATATATATATATATATATTTACATTGCCCCCAACAATCTGGGTCCTCATTTTACCTACCCCGGAAGGATGGAAGGCTGAGTCAACCTTGAGCCGGTGAGATTTGAACCGCTGACCTGCTGAACACAGTCAGCTAAAGTGGCCTGCAGTACTGCACTCCAACTGCTGCGCCACCTCGGCTCTTCATTTGCTGGATATTTCCTGCCTCAGGATGTACTTGCATCCATCCTGCTTCTAAGAGTTTCAAAGAGAGGCTGAATCCCTTTCACACGACCGTCCCTTTCGCTATAAAACTCCGATGCGGTGTTTTGTTTTGTTTTCCACATGACCTCTACTTAAGAAACCAAATTTCTTCACGGGATGATGGCCTCTGTTTTGACATAGTTTATGCAGACATGTCAAACTCGCGACATCACGTGACATCATGCGACGTATCGGGGCTTTTTCCCCATTGCTGGCAATGGGGCGGGCGTGGTTTCCTCGTGACGCATCCGGCCCGCGGCCTGGCAGTTTGACACCCCTGGTTTAGTGTTTCCCAAATCTTGGCAGCTTTAAGATGAGTGGACTTCAACTCCCAGAATTCCCCAAGCTTGCTGGGGAATTCTGGGGGTTGAAGTCCACCCGTCTTAAAGCTGCCACGATTTGGGAAGCACTGTCCTAGTTTTCAACTCAGTTTGGGAATTGATGACTTCAACCATAATAGAATAACAGAGTTGAAAGGCACCTTGGAGATCTTCTAGTCCAGTGGTTCTCAACCTTTTTAATGCCGCGACCCCCAACCGGTTGTAAGTCGAGGACTACTCAACCAGTCATAAGTCGAGGACTACTCAACTGGTGCAGCACCGTTTGTAGAATGGGACTTTTGGCGGGCTCAGCAGGGCAGAGACAGCCTGGACAATTCCTATTGGCTTTGAAAGCCAATAGAATTAGACTCTATTCAAGAGAGTCTATTCTATTGGCTTTCAAAAGCCAATAGAATAAAAGGGAGTAGCACAGCTAAGGAAAAGGGGGGGGAAAATGGCGGACTGCGTTGTTTGGCGACCCCCATGAAATGGTCGTTCGACCCCAAATGGGGTCCCGACCCACAGGTTGAGAACCGCTGTAATCTAGTCCAATGCCCATCAGCCTCAACAAAATCAGTTAGGCCGCTGAGGTAGGCAACCTCGGCTCTTTTATGACTCGTGGACCAACTCCCAGAATTCCTGAGTCAGGAATTCTGGGAGTTGAAGTCCATGAGTCATAAAAGAGCCGAGGTTGCCTATCCCTGATTAGGGGAATTGTTATCTGGCAATATCTAGAAAGGGTTTTGCGTTTTTGGGGGGGTTCAAAGAAGCCAGCATTTAAGATTATGGAGACTGTGTTTAGTGCACCCATCTAAACCCCAATCTAAACAACCCTTCTTCTCAAGATGCTAGTTTTTTCACAAGCAAGAAAAGTATCAAATCGTCCCCCCCACCCCTCCAGCAAACACATTTCTGGTAAAGTCCAGAAATAACATAAGCACCGCTCAATTCTCCTGATGGTAACAGTGGCTCTAAAGATTTTAGGAAGTGTGGCTGGTTATTTTTATCAGTTTAGGGTGTTTCTTCACAGTTTTTCGAACTGTTTTAAATACGTGTTATTTAAGTTCATGGCCTGACCACCGAATTTCTTCCCTCGATGCTACCTCTTTCTTTTTCTGCCTCTTACTCAGATGATCCAGAGTTTATCGACTGCGAAAAGGAGGGTTTTTTCTCGCTACATCAACGGAGGGGAGCCATTAAGCAAGCGAAGATTCATAATGTCAAGTGCCACGAGTTTACAGCCACTTTCTTTCCCCAGCCCACGTTCTGCTCTGTTTGCCACGAATTTGTCTGGTACGACCAAAGAGTTTCTTTTGGGGCGGGTCTGTGAAGGACAGGATGCAGCTTTCTTTCCTGATGGGAAGATGGTTCCTGTGGAGAGCTGTTATGATCCATTGGTCAAAAGAGCTGTTACGATCCATTGGTCAAAAGAGCTGCTATGATCCATTGGTCAAAAGAGCTGTTACGATCCAGTGGTCAAAAGAATTGTTATGATCCATTAGTCAAAAGAGCTGTTATGATCCACTGATCAAAAGAGCTGCTACGATCCATTGATCAAAAGAACTGCTATGATCCACTGATCAAAAGAATTGTTATGATCTATTGATCAAAAGAGCTGCTATGAGCCATTGGTCAAAAGAGCTGTTATGATCCATTGGTCAAAAGAGCTGTTATGATCCATTGGTCAAAAGAGCTGTTATGATCTGTTGGTCAAAAGAATTGTTATGATCCATTGGTCAAAAGAGCTGCTATGATCCAGTGGTCAAAAGAATTGTTATGATCCATTGGTCAAAAGAGCTGCTATGATCCATTGGTCAAAAGAGCTGTTATGATCCATTGGTCAAAAGAGCTGTTATGATCCATTGGTCAAAAGAGCTGTTATGATCTGTTGGTCAAAAGAATTGTTATGATCCAGTGGTCAAAAGAGCTGCTATGATCCAGTGGTCAAAAGAATTGTTATGATCCATTGGTCAAAAGAGCTGCTATGATCCATTGGTCAAAAGAGCTGCTATGATCCATTGGTCAAAAGAATTGTTATGATCCATTGGTCAAAAGAGCTGCTATGATCCATTGGTCAAAAAAGCTGTTATGATCCATTGATCAAAAGAGCTGCTATGATCCATTGGTCAAAAGAGCTGCTATGATCCATTGGTCAAAAGAGCTGTTATGATCCATTGGTCAAAAGAGCTGCTATGATCCATTGGTCAAAAAAATTGTTATGATCCATTGGTCAAAAGAGCTGCTATGGTCCATTGGTCAAAAGAACTGTTATGATCTGTTGGTCAAAAGAATTGTTATGATCCATTGGTCAAAAGAGCTGTTATGATCCAGTGGTCAAAAGAGCTGCTATGATCCATTGATGAAAAGAGCTGTTATGATCCATTGGTCAAAAGAACTGTTATGATCCATTGGTCAAAAGAACTGTTATGATCCATTGGTCAAAAGAACTGTTATCATCCATTGGCCAAAAGAGCTGCTATGATCCATTGGTCAAAAGAACTGTTATGATCCAGTGGTCAAAAGAGTTGTTACGATCCAGTGGTCAAAAGAGCTGCTATGATCCATTGATCTAGTTCTAGTTGCTAAGATTCATTAACGCTAACCATACATCCATAGTTATTTAGTCTTATTTGGGTTGAGTTGAAGCATCCTAACCCAGCCCCAAAGAGCTTTAGATGAGACCTCAGCAGCACCACTTTAACCCTGATTAACCGTCATGGACTGACATGTGCAGCTTCCTGTTGAGAGCTGTTAAATGTTTCTACTGTTGTAGGAGGAAAAACCAACAGGAGCAGATGGAGAATCTCCAGCCCTGGAAGAACCATGTATTCATAGATATTTGGTCCTATCTGGGTTGAGTTGAACCATCTTCATCCTCACCAGCTTTAGATGAGACCTCAAAAGCATCACTTGGTTGATCAGGGTTTGAGATCTGCAGCTTCCTATTGATCCAGTGGCATCAATTTTGAGTTCAAAAAAATCAGACAAATTCCCCTTGAGGGTCAAAAACACGTCAGTTGGGAATCCTTCTTAATCCAGATTTGATCCATTCCAATTTGGTTTCCTAATCTGAACCAATCTGGTAGGTAAACTGGATTTAGAAAGGTGAATTGAATCATCAAAATTGGGTTTGCTTCATTTTGTTTTTCCAACTGGATAAATCTGCCTTTTTCACATGCTGCAGGACTTTTGAACCTCTGAATCAAATGAATTTTTTTTTAATTTGACAAGTTAAATTCAATAAGCTTGAACACGAATCACTGCACTTGTTGATTTTTTAAAAAGTCATTTTTCTCAAATGCAGACATGATTTGAAATCTCTTTTATATTAATACTGTTTTTCCTTTTTATTCCAGGGGGCTTAACAAGCAAGGCTATCAGTGCAGACGTAAGATCTTTCAGTATATTATATTTATATGTTGATGGTTATCCTAACTGTGCAATGGTTCTTAACATTCAGTTCTGAAAAGCTTGAGAATGAATTAAGCATAATTAAATAATTACAGAAATCCCTGCATGGAAACAAAGCAATTATTTTTTTTAAGTGTTCCAATCCTGTTCATAGTTTCACTGTTTTCACAACCCAGTATGTTTCCAAATCATTGTCAATCCCTGAGAAAGAAAATAGACATTATGGGGTCTGTTTTTCTTAGGGTCTTCAGGAAATAAAATTAGTTCCAAGAATAAGAAGCCACAATCAAGGGAGAAATTATTTCCTGATTTAATTGAAATCTTCAGCTTTCCATCTCAGTCAAAACACAAGAGTTACTAGATGTCATTTTCTGCCTTCTAAATTGGAGCCATCTCAAACTTTAGAATAACTCAACCCTTTTTTCAGATTGACAGTCATAATTTGAGTAATGCTGGGAGCTGCACTCTCAAAAAGAATAAAAAGAAAACCTTGCCTAAAATTAGATTTAACCGACACTATTATTTAATTTAATATCAGGACTACATCTAGCTGTAAAGGTGTAATTGTGCTCTCCTTCCGTCATATCAAAATGACAATTGTGGGTGGAATTTAGCAGAGCCCCAGTGATTGCTCCTGAGACTGGAGAGGCTGGGAATCGTACACACACACACACACACACACACACACACACACACACACACACACCACAGACATACAAACACACCTCAAATTCCTTTTCTATTTTTTTAGCTGCCTAGCTTGGTCTCTGAACTTCAGGAATTATAGAGACAAATTTTATGCAAAACTGAACTTGAAAAAAAAACAGAATAAACAAAGTTGGTTGGGACCTTGGAGGTCTTCTAGCTCAACCCCCTATGCAAGCAGGAAACCCTATGCCATTTCAGACAAATGGTTTTCAAAGGGGATTTGAATGAATATCTCCCAGAAGAAGGGGTAAGGAACTGTTCTGACTGGGACCACATTGAACTGTTTCCTTCGCCCCATCATGCTGTATTTCTGCCCAATAGTGTGTAAAAGAGTACACACTATTTGTGTTGTGGTCCTTCTGTGTCCCCTGTAAAACTTGTCAGCAAAGTGGGTCTCTTTTTTCCCTCAGAATGCAATGCTGCCATTCACAAGAAGTGTATTGACAAAGTCATCGCAAAGTGTACTGGATCAGCTATCAACAGTAGAGAAACCATGGTAAGTTTTGGCTTGTGTTATTTTTGTGATTTGTTGAGTAGCTAGGGTCACCCGACATACAAGGCACTAAACTTGGTTATAATAACCTTGATTTGAGTGACAGAACAGTCACTCTGAGGGCTGCCTGAGGAATTCTGGGAGTTGAAGTCCACAAGTCTTAAAGTGGCCAAGTTTGAAGACCCCTGTAGCTGGCTGAGGAATTCTGGGAGTTGAGGTCCACAAGTCTTAAAGTGGCCAAGTTTGAAGACCCCTGTAGCTGGCTGAGGAATTCTAGGAGTTGAAGTCCACAAGTCTTAAAGTGGCCAAGTCTGAAGACCCCTGTAGCTGGCTGAGGAATTCTGGGAGTTGAGGTCCACAAGTCTTAAAGTGGCCAAGTTTGAAGACCCCTGTAGCTGGCTGAGGAATTCTGGGAGTTGAAGTCCACAAGTCTTAAAGTTGCTAAGTTTGAAGACCCCTGTCATAGTAGGCTGTGCAAAGCCAGTTCTTTTAATAAGTTACTAGCTCGGGGTACAATGAGAATACCCCCAAAAGTAATTGAAACCTGGTTCCTGAAGTAATTCCCAATACAATACCAGATAGTCCTCGACCTAACGACCACAATCCAGCCCAAAATTGATGTCGCTAAGTGAGTTTTGCCCCATTTTATGAACTTCAGTGAATCAGCTGAAGTTGTTAAGTTAGCTGTTCAGTTAGTAACACAGTTGTTCAGCGAATCTGGCTTCCCCATTGACTTTTTGACTTTCAAATGGTGGCAAAAGGTGATCACATGACCTCCAGGACACTGTAAACATCACAAATGTGAGTTCAGTTGCCAAGTGCCGGATTTTGACCCCGTGACCCCAAGGATGCTGCAACCGTCGTAAGTGCGGAAAAACAAACATAAGTCATTTTTTTCAGTGCTGCTGTAACGTGGAACAGTCACTAAACGAATGGGTATAAGTCAAGGACTATCTATAAATCATACAAAGTCCAACACTAACGAAGATTCGGCATATTGTGTGAATGCACCCCGCTTGAACTTTTATGTTTTATTGATTATGTTGTGATTTCTTTGATTGTTGTGAGTCTCCCAGAATCGTTGAGAGTTGGGCAGGCCACAAACATAAATAGTAATAGTAATAGTAGTAAAGTTGGAAGGGACCTTGGAGGTCATCTAGTCCAACCCCCTGCTCAGGCAGGAAACCCTACACCATTTCGGACAAATGGCTGTCCAGTCTCTTCTTAAAAACTTCCAGTGTTGGAGCATTTACTGCTTTTGGAGGCAGGCTGTTCCACTGATTAATTGTTCTCACTGTCAGGAAGTTTCTCCTTAGTTCTAGGTTGCTTCTCTCCTTGATTAGTTTCCGCCCGTTTCTTCTTGTCCTGCCTTCAGGCGCTTTGGAGAATAGCTTGACTACCTCTTCTTTGGGGCAGCCCCTGAGATATTGGAACACAGCTATCATGTACCCCCTCGTCCTTCTCTTCGTTAAACTAGACATACCCAATTCTAGCAACCGTTCCTTATATGTTTTAGCCTCCAGTCCCCTAATCATCTTTGTTGCTCTTTTCTGTACCACAAAAATTGTTTTTTATCATACAACCATGTGTGAAATCACAGCTGCCTGTTCAAAGCTACAGGGGTATGTTTTAAAACTTATTTCCTTCCCTTTTTCTTCCAGTTCCACAAGGAGAGGTTTAAGATCGACATGCCCCATCGCTTCAAGGTATACAATTATAAAAGCCCCACCTTCTGCGACCATTGTGGAACACTGCTCTGGGGCCTGGCACGGCAGGGCTTAAAATGCGATGGTGAGTTGGAGATAAATGGGGGGATCTCCAGCATGACTTTTGAGCCACACTACAGGTAGTCCTCGGCTTACGACCACAATTGAGCCCAAAATTTATGTTGCTAAGTGAGACAGTTGTTAAGCGAGTTTTGCCCCGTTTTACGAACTTGTGTCTAGTTGTCTTGGCATACAATGCCCTATAGCACCATAATGAAATGCAATGAAAGGTCTGCAAGAAAATAACCAAGCTCAGAGAGCACCAAGGACCCCAGTCCTCCTCTTCCTGTTCCTCTTCCTCCTCCTCCTCTTCTTCCTCCTCCTCTTCTTCCTCCTCCTCTTCTTCTTCTTCTCCTCCTCCTCCTCCTTTTCCTCCTTCTCCTCCTGTTTTTCTTGTTCTTCTTCTCTTCCTCCTCCTCCTCGACTCTGCAAACCCCACTCCCTTCTAGCACTGATGAGGTTACTTACTTGGGTCACGAAACATCTGCAAGAAAGCAACCAAGCTCAGAGATCACCAAGGACCCCACAGTAGTAGTTCTTCTCCTTCTCCTCCTCCTCCTTCTCCTCCTCCTCCTCCTCCTCCTCCTCCTCCTCTTCTTCTTCTCCTCCTCCTCCTCCTCCTCCTGTTTTCTTGTTCTTCTTCTTCTCCTCCTCCTCCTCCTTCACTCTGCAAACACCACTCCTTCTAGCACTGATGAGGTTACTTAGTTGGATTATGAAACATCTGCAAGAAAGCAACCAAGCTCAGAGATCACCAAGAACCCCACAGTAGTAGTTCTTCTCCTTCTCCTCCTCCTCCTCCTCCTCCTCCTCCTCCTCCTCCTCCTCCTCCTCCTCCTCCTCCTCTTCCACCACCACCACCACCACCACCACCACTCTGCAAACCCCATTCCCTTCTAGCACTGATGATGTTACCAAGTTGGGTAATAAAACTTCTGTAATAAAGCCACCAAGGTCAGAGAGTACCAAAGACTGTACAGATTAACCGTGAGCTACCGATGCTCTCTTCTGTGAGATTTTGTGCTCTTCAGACAAATCCGAGCCCACTTTTTCAAGCATACTGTTCCCCCCAAATATGCCTATTATTGATTTTACGGGGGCAGCTGGACGTTTTATTGATCCTCTGCTGCAACCTTCTAAACTCAACATCCCACTTAAGGGCCACTGTAGTTTATGTCCTGTCCAGGCAGTGAACGATTTAGCAGTAAAATGTTAGAAAATTAAAGCAAAAAAAGCAAGGTTCGGCTTGGGGGCAGGAGAAGAACAACGTCTCCCTATTTTAAAAACAAACATCTTGCAAGCCATTTTGAAGCCAGAAATCTGATCGGTGATTTTGGTCATTTTGGTGATTTTGCAGCCTGCGCGATGAACGTCCACCACAAATGCCAAACCAAGGTGGCGAATCTTTGCGGCGTGAACCAGAAACTCATGGCGGAAGCGTTGGCACTCATTGAGAGCAGGCAACAAGTGAGTAAGCAGGATGTCTTGCGAAGAAAAACGGGCAGGGGAAAATGAATGGAGAACATCTTAGTTTGCAGCCACTGTGAGTTGTCCGTGACCTGATCCTCCGGACAACGGATTCCCCTAGCACCGCTAGCGTGCACGCAAGTTCCACAGCCAGTTTGCGCCTGCTTGTGGGGCTAGCGCCTGCATGCATGCACAAACAAGACCGCTAGGGTGCACACGGGTTGCACGGCCCATTTGCATATGCATGCAGGGCTAGTGGCAATGGCTAGCACCTGCACGCCTACACAAACAGGGTCGCTAGCGCCGTGTGGGTTTGTGCAGCCCCATTTCTGCGCACATGCACAAACTTCCCAGCTGCTCCCTTTCCCTCTGGGCCGCCAGCATGAAAAGGTTGGTAACCTCTGCTCTAGTGGTCTTCTAGTCCAGGAGTCCACAACCCGCGGTCCGTGGACCGGTACCGGGCCACGGCATGCCGCACAATCAAGCAAAGCCCTATCCGCGGGATGCAGGCAGCACACAAAACCACGCACCCTCCGGTCCGCGGAAAAAACATCTCTCCACGGAACCGGTCCCTGGTGCCCAAAAGGTTGGGGATCTCTACCCTTGGAGAAGCAAAAAAATAAAATAAAAATGTTTGGCTAGGGAATTCTGGGAGTTGAAGTCCACCTAGCTTAAAGTTGTCGAAGTTGAGAAACGCTAGTAACGCCCCCGTCGCTCTTTCTTTTAAGGATTTCTCCTTCTGGGTTTTTCGTTTGCTTTCCCACATACCTGCAGATATCTGCACACGAGGATGTTTTCATTCCTGTATCACATAACTTGGGTCTCCTCGGACACCGAAACAAATCTTCCCCTTATTTTTTTTTTCATCTAATCGCACAATTGTAGCACCGATGCTCCAGTAACCCCAATAATAGGAAACTGGTTGTCTTATATGGAGCAGTGAGGAAGAACTGGAAAAAGCAGTCCTTGACTTACGACAGCAATTGAGCAAACGTTTCCCTTGCTAAGCGAGACAGTTGTGAGCTGGTTTTGCCCCATTTTATGACCTCTCCTGCCACAGCTGTTAAATGAATCACTGCAGCTGCGAAGCTAGTCACACCGTTGTTAAGCGAATCCGACTTCCCCGTTGACTTTGCTTGTCGAAAGGTCGCAAAAAAGGGGATTACGTGACTCCCCAGGACACTGCAACCGTCATAAATATGAGTCAGTTGCCAAGCGCCTGAGTTTTGCTTATGTGACCGTGGGGATGCTGCAACGGTCATGTGTAAAACGGTCATTTTTCAATTCCGTTGTTACCTCAAACCGTCACTAAATTAATGATTGTAAGTCGGGGACTGCTTGTAAACAAAAATCTAGGGGACGTTCCACTCCAGGGCAGTGGCAAATCTTTGCAATTCTCCTTGCAAAACCCAAGCCTCTTCTTCCATAGCTGGATGCAATTTTGCAAATCGGTGTCTTTTTTAGACCTTGCATCTCTTGGACACAGGGTCAAACGCTGCATCAAAAAGTAGAAACGTTCTCTTCTATCTCAAAGGTGCTTTTTCATGAGGCAACTGGACTTCCTTATTTTTCTTTGAAGACGTTTCGCTTCTCATCCAAGAAGCTTCTTCAGGTTCTGACTGGATGGTGAGGAATGGAAGGATTTATATTCCTTGCAGACAGCTGGTCATTTGCCTCCTTTTAGAGCAGCGGTTCTCAACCTGTGGGTCGGGACCCCATTTGGGGTCGAACAACCATTTCACGGGGGTCGCCAAACAACACAGTCCGCCATTTTTTTCCCCTTTTCCTTAGCTGTGCTACTCCCTTTTATTCTATTGGCTTTTGAAAGCCAATAGAATAGGCTCTCTTGAATAGAGTCTAATTCTATTGGCTTTCAAAAGCCAATAGGAATTGTCCAGGCTGTCTCTGCCCTGCTGAGCCCGCCAAAAGTCCCATTCTGCAAACGGTGCTGCAAGTTGTCTGTAGGGAAGGTGAGCTGTCTGGAAGCTTCCACCCCTCCCTGCTGAGCAACTACTAAAAATGTAAGAAAAAGAGGGCCAGGGGTGGGAGGTGGGAGGCCGGCGGGCGCAGGGAGGGTTGCTGGCGCACATGGGGCCCGGCGGGTGCCTTACCTCCTTTGGGCTGGGCCAGCTGGTGGCCCAGCCGGTGGTCGGCCTGCACCGTCTGTGCCCTTGCCAGCTACGCCTCGGCCAGCACAGGGGGCGGCACCTACGCATGCGCAGCTCTCCCAGGCAGGGAAAGTCCTCGACTTACAACTGGTTGGGTAGTCTTCGACTTACGACCGGTTGGGTAGTCCTCGACTTACGACCGGTTGGGGGTTGCGGCATTAAAAAGGTTGAGAACCATTGTTTTAGAGAGTCGTTGAGGCCACTTGGGGATTTATCTGTTCCAAGAAGGCTCCACACCCATTTGCATTACTCAGGTGACCTGAGGACACAGACCAACCTCCAAGTGGCCTCAACAACTCTCTTTGTTGTGTCCGACCCATCGCGACCCCATGGACAACGTTCCTCCAGGCCTTCCTATCCTCTACCATCTTTTAGAGTCCATTTAAACTCACGCCTACTGCTTCAGTGACTCCATCCAGCCACCTCATTCTCTGTCGTCCCCTTCTTCTCTTGCCCTTCATCTTTCCCAGCATCAGGCTCTTCTCCAGTGAGTCCTTTCTTCTCATTAGGTGGCCAAAGTACTTGAGTTTCCACTTCAGGATCTGGCCTTCTAAAAAGCAGTCAGGGTTGATCTCCTCTAGGACTGACCGGTTTGATCGCCTTGCAGTCCAGGGGACTTGCAAGGAATCTTCTCCAGCACCATAGTGCTCTCCAAAAGAAGGCAAATGACCAGCTGTCCGCAAGGAGTATAAATCCTTCCATTCACCAGCATCCTTTCAGAGCTGAAGAAGCTTCTTGGATGAGAAGTGAAACGTCCTCAAAGAAAAACAAGAAAGTCCAGTTGCCTCCTGAAAAAGACCTGGATGATGGAGAATCTCCATAGATGTTCTCTTCTATCCTATGCTTGCTGATCGGTAGGGCCGTCGGATCGGCACCTGCCCCACCTCTGCGTGAGGTCAGCCAGCATGTTGCACCGTTGTGTTATTTTTTTTCCCCACCCTGCTTGTTCTGTGTGTTGACTCAGGCACGAGGTCTACGTGATTCAGAGCAGATTTTACGAGAAGGACCGGTTGACATCTCCTGCGTGAAGGAGGAGCAGCCAGAAGCCCCAACAGGCAGAAAAGGTTTTGCGTTTTATTAATACCTTTTCCCAGTAGAATTTTCTTTACCTGTACAGGTAATCCTCAGCGTACGACCGCGACTGAGCCCAGCGTTGTTGCGGCTAAGCGAGAAATTTGTTAAGTGAGTTTTGTCCCATTTTACGACCTTTCTGGCTACATCTGTTAAGTGAATCGCTGCAATTCTTAAATTCGTAACACGGTTGTTAAGTGAATCTGGCTTCCCCTCCCCCACATTGACTTTGCTTGTCAGAAGGTGGTAAAAGGGGATCGCGTGACCCTGAGACACTGCAACCGTCATAAGTACGAGTCAGTTGCCAAGCATCTGAATTTGGATCATATGACCTATGGGGAAATGCTACAATGGTCATCAGTGTGAGAAACGGTCATAAGTCACTTTGTTCAGTGACGTTGTAATTTTGAACGGTCGCTAAATGAACGGTTGTAAGTCGAAGGACTACCTTCGACTTACAACCGTTCATTTAGTGACCGTTCAAAATTAACTGGTGTTAATTAACTGGTGTTAACTGGTATAACTGGTGTTAACTTTAATTAAGTCACACACACACACACACGCCCAGCCAACCAGCATGAAGGACTGAAGAATTCTGGGAATTGAAGTCCAGAAGTCTTCAAGTTACCAAGTTTGGAGACCCCTGCTATAGGGTCATGTTGTAAGACTCTGCCTTAAGGGATGGAATGAAGATTTTTTTAAAATACATTAATAAATATTTCAACACGAATGCTCTGGAATCTTTTTGTAGAGCCACAGGGAATTTTCTGGGAATCCCCAGCAGACGACATCCCAGTTTCGGATTCTCCAGTGGAACTGGAACCGAGGAGAGACATCCAAGCGGAATTGCCAAAGTTAACCATAGATGACTTTTACCTGCACAGAACACTGGGGAAGGGAAGTTTTGGCAAGGTAAGGGGGGGGGGGTAGGAGGAGAGTACAAACTTGATTTTTAAAGTGTGGGGGGGAATGTGTAGCCCTTTTCACACTTCTGCCCTCTCCACTCTCCAATGTTCACATCCTTCCCTTTGGAAAAGCTAGTACAGGGGTGGCGAAGCTATGGCATGCCGTTGCCCCAGCCTTGCCTCCGCCCGTGACCCCTTCCTTACCAACAGCCTCCCTGGAGGAGAGTCACCCCTGAGCGTGGCCCACGCGGAGGAGCGCAGCCAAGAACATGGCAGCCAGGCAGCGTAGACAAGACTCTGCCCTCACGCCCCAACGCACACAGTTGATGCTGCAGGGCGTGGGCAGAGGGCGTGGCCGCCATGGTGCTGCTGGGCTGCCTGGGTGATCTGCGGCAGGCCCTGGAGGTGGTGAGTGGCCCTGTGGGCAGGCAGGGTGGGGCAGAGCGGGGTTAGGGCAGGGGGTGGAGCAGGGGTGGGGCCAGTTTTTGAGCCCTTGGTCTCTAAAACAGTGATTCTCAACCTTTTTAATGCCGTGACCCCCAACCGGTCGTAAGTCGAGGACTACTCAACCGGTTCTAAGTCGAGGACTACTCAACTGGTGCAGCACCGTTTGCAGAATGGGACTTTTGGTGGGCTCAGCAGGGCAGAGACCGCCTGGACAATTCCTATTGGCTTTTGAAAGCCAATAGAATTAGACTCTATTCAAGAGAGTCTATTCTATTGGCTTTCAAAAGCCAATAGAATAAAAGGGAGTAGCACAGCTAAGAAAAAGGGGGAAAAAATGGCGGACTGCGTTGTTTGGCGACCCCCGTGAAATGGTCGTTTGACCCCAAATGGGGTCCCGACCCACAGGTTGAGAACCGCTGCTCTAAAAGGTTCGCCATCACTGGGCTAGTATGAAGGGAGAGCTGGGGAGCTGCTAAGCCACCATTCCTCTCTTATATTGAAAAGACCCTCTGAAATTAGAGCCAGGAAGAAAGGTGAAACTTCCTGCCAATGGGAAACCAGCTCTCAGACAAACTCAGAGTTGAGTTGAAGTATACAAAAAAAATCAGTGGTGGGATTCAGCCGGTTCGCACCGGTTCGGTAGAACCGGTAAGGAAATTTTGTTGAGTTCGGAGAACCGGCTGAACTCATGCTGCTTCTGGAAGTCCATTCTAAGCCTCAAAGGCCTGGAGGAGGTCTCCCAGGCCTAGAACGGCCCATCAGAAGTGCATGGATGTCACTTCCGGAAGTCCGTTCTAGGCCTTGTGGAGGCCTCCCAGGCCTAGAATGGCCCGGCGGAAGTGCGTGGATGTCACTTCCGGAAGTCTGTTCTAGGCCTGGTAGAGGCCTGGAGGAGGTCTCCCAGGCCTAGAACGGCCCGCCGGAAGTGCATGGATGTCACTTCCGGAAGTCCGTTCTAGGCCTTGTGGAGGCCTCCCAGGCCTAGAACGGCCCGCCGGAAGTGCATGGATGTCACTTCCGGAAGTCCATTCCAGGCCTCGGAGGCCCAGGCCTGCATCCAGGCAGAGAACTGGATGTTCAGGGATTTGAATCCCACCACTGAAAAAAGTCCCCTTTTGCCACGATTTCAAATGCAGCAGTCCCTGGTCCAGAAATAATTTGGCTCAGCTGCTAAATATAGGTAGTCCTCGAATTACAACGACAGTTGGGCCCAAAATTTCCATTGCTAAGCGAGATGTTGTTAATGTGAGTTTTGCCCCATTTTACAACCTTTCTTGCCACAGTTGTTAATTGCATCCCGGCAGTGGATGGGTGTTAAGTGAATCGGGCTTCCCCGCTGACTTTGCTTGACAGAATGTCGGAAAAGGGGATCAGGCGACCCCTGGACACGGCAACCGTCATAAATACGAGTCCGTAGCCAAGGGTCTGAATTTTGATCACGTGAGCATGAGGAATGCTGCAAGGGTTATAAGTGTGAAAAACGGGTCAAAAGCCACTTTTTAAAGTTTGAATGGTCACTAAACGAAACTGTTGTAAATTGAGGACTACGTATACTCCTAACATGGTGGTCCGTACAGATCCACAACTGATTGCAAATGGATGCAAAGCCCTCAGGTTCGTATGTGTGAATTATCTTTCCACTTTTATCCCAAAGGTGTTTTTTCCTGAGGCAACTGGACCTCCTTGTTTTTCTTTGAAAATGTTTCGCTTCTCATCCCAGAAGCTTCTTCAGCTCTGACTGGATGGTGGGGAACGGGAGGATTTATACTCTTTGCAGAGAGCTGGTCATTTGCCTTCTTTTTAGAGAGTCGTTGAGGCCACCTGGAGGTTTATCTGTTTCCTCAAGTTCTTTTCAGCAATTCCAAGAAGGCTCCACACCCATTTGCACAACTCAGGTGACTTTGAGGAACACAGATCCCCACCATCCAATCAGAGCTGAAGAAGCTTCTTGGACGAGAGGTGAAATGTCTTTAAAAAAAAACACGAAAGTCCAGTTGTCTCCTGAAAAAAGCACCTTTGGGACAACAAAGACCTGGGTGACTGAGAATCTCCATAGACCAGTGGTTCTCAACCTTTTTAATGCCGCCACCCCTAATCGGTCGTAAGTTGAGAACTACTCAACCGGTCGTAAGTCGAGGACTATTCAACTGGTGCAGCACCGTTTGCAGAATGGGACTTTTGGCGGGCTCAGCAGGGCAGAGACCGCCTGGACAATTCCTATTGGCTTTTGAAAGCCAATAGAATTAGACTCTATTCAAGAGAGTCTATTCTATTGGCTTTCAAAAGCCAATAGAATAAAAGGGAGTAGCACAGCTAAGGAAAAGGGGGAAAAAATGGCGGACTGCGTTGTTTGGCGACCCCCGTGAAATGGTCGTTCGACCCCAAATGGGGTCCCGACCCACAGGTTGAGAACCACTGCCATAGAAATTTCCACTTTTATGACTTTGCTCATCTAACCTGCTTATTGGTGATGTTTTTTTCTCCAGGTTTTCCTTGTGGAACTCAAAACCACAAACCAGTTTTTCGCCATGAAAGCCCTGAAGAAGGAGGTGGTCCTGATGGATGACGACGTGGAATGTACCATGGTGGAGAAGCGGGTCCTCTCGCTGGCTTGGGAGCACCCATTTCTCACCCACGTCTTCTGTACTTTCCAAACGAAGGTAAAAATACGCATTAGTCGGTGAACCAGTTGGTGCAAATCACATGGGTGGTTTAGAGCAGGGGTAGGCAACCTTGGCTCTTTTATGACTCGTGGACTTCAGCTCCCAGAATTCCTGAGCCAGCATGAAGAGAACTATGGCGCTCTTGATGACTGGTAGACTTCAACTCCCAGAATTCCCGAGCCAGCCATGCTGAGGGGAAAGGGAGAGGTTTCCATGCTGAGCCTGCTGGTTCAGGAATTCTGGGAGTTGAAGTCCACCAGTCATGAAGGGGCCATAGTTTCCCTCATGCTGGCTCAGGAATTCTGGGAGTTGAAGTCCATGAGTCATGAAGGGGCCAAGGTTGCCTACCCCTGTTCTAAGTCCTGCTGTTCTAAGCGGTGAGCCTCCTAGACCAGGGGTGGGGAACCTTGTCTCTTTTATGACTCATGGACTTCAATTCCCAGAATTCTTGAGCCAGCATGGGGAGATGAGGCAGCGACTTGCTCTCAGTCTAATCTCTTAGAATTGTTAAGTTGTGTACTTAAAAGATTTACTAAATGAACATTGTCTCACAATTCCCTTCTCTAACTTCATCTGTTCCAGATATGTTGGGATGGTAAGGTAATCTAGTAGCTCCAAGTCTACCTCTAGGGCTTTTGCCCAAGTTCTAAAGGTCATCCTTCTCTCCCTTGCTAGGAGAACCTCTTTTTTGTCATGGAGTACCTCAGCGGCGGAGACCTGATGTTCCATATTCAGAACTGTCACAAATTTGAAATGGACCGCGCAAGGTGAGGTGGGCCTGCCTTTATCAAACTCTTCCATCAATAGAGGACAATATTTGTAGCTCAGGTTTCAACTGTGGGGTCCTTGGTGCTCTCCAAGCTTGGTGGTTTTCTTACAGACGTTTCATTGCCCAATTAGGTAACATCATCGGTGCTAATAAGGAGCGCTCCCATTTTATATTCTAGCGCAGGGGTAGGCAACCTTGGCTCTTTTATGACTGGTGGACTTCAACTCCCAGAATTCCTGAGCCAGCATGGCTCAGCTTGGAAACCTCTCCCTTTCCCCTCAGCATGGCTGGCTCAGGAATTCTGGGAGTTGAAGTCCACGCCTCATAAAAGAGCCAAGGTTGCCTACCCCTGTTCTAAGTCCTCCTGTTGTAAGCGGTGAGCCTCCTAGGCCAGAGGTAGGCAATTTGGGCTCTTTTATGACTGGTGGACTTCAACTCCCAGAATTCCTGAGCCAGTGTGGCTCAGCATGGAAACCTCTCCCTTTCCCCTCAGCATGGCTGGCTCAGGAATTCTGGGAGTTGAAGTCCACCAGTCACAAAAGAGCCAAGGTTGCCTAACCCTGTCCTAAGGCCTCCTGTTTTAAGCGGTGAGCCTCCTAGCTCAGGGGTAGGCAACCTTGGCTCTTTTATGAGGCGTGGACTTCAACTCCCAGAATTCCTGAGCCAGCATGGAAACCTCTCCCTTTCCCCTCAGCATGGTTGGCTCAGGAATTCTGGGAGTTGAAGTCCACGAGTCATAAAAAGAGCCAAGGTTGCCTACCCCTGTTGTAGCGCCTTGCCGTGCCAGTGTTGGCGGGGGGTCATCTTAGAGGTTTTACGTTGGGCTGTTTACGGTTGATTTGTTTGGGAGTTCCTTGATTGGGGTATGGTTTATTTCTTGATTGTTGGTCTGATGTTAATCTTGGAGTTCATCTCTGCTCATCTGGGTGCTGATTGCTGATGGGGAGGTGGTTGGGTTTTTTTGTTCTCTTCTTGGCTTGTTGATTGCCTCTTTTGCATAATACATAGACAATGTTTATATCTATGTGTCTGTTGATGGCCAATTTGTCAGAGTCCCAAGCTTCCAGGAATTCTCTAGCATTTTTTGAACTTGGCTTGGTCTAGGACAGAGGGGGAAGCACTTTACACAGGTGCGTGTGTGCGCATGCGCACGGGGCCCTGAGCCCATGCGCACCGCAAATGGGGCTGGGCTAGTGCCTGCGTGATACTCAGTAGCCCTGACCCGTTCTTGCGTGGCACAGCGCAGCATCGCCCATTTTTGTGTCCCGTGGCGTGGCAGTGGCCCATTCCCATGCCTCACAACGCTGTGGCATCCGTTTTTGCATCTTGCAGCATGATGGCAGCCCGATTTTGTGCTAGTGCAAGTGAGGGGGTGTGCGCACATACGTGCATGCAATGGACAGCATGTCCTGTGGCCAGCAGGCCATGGCCCACTATCGGGCTATAGCCCACAAGTTGGAGACCCCTGGTTTAGGATGGTCACAGTTTCCCAGCTGAAACTATGGTCAAGTCTGCCACATGCTGTGAAATTAAAGAATTTTCATCAGGTTTTCTGACTGCCAGAAAGTCCACCTGTGTGGCTGTGATGAGTCCACAATGACTTGATAGAACATCGTCAATCAGTCAGCATCCATTACACCATAAACTCTGAGCACATTAAGCTGGGCGTCTGTAACTGTAACCTCCATCTTGACTTTTTGATGTACCTACCAGAGACAACCCGTTGCGAGAATCTCATTTCTATTCTGTGCTTTTATTGAGTAGACAGACAAATAGAAATGATAACAGAAATTATTAATAATAATTGTAAGTCAATACAATGAATAAGGAGGATATCTGTAGCTCAGGGTTGACATGAGGGGTCCTTGGTACTCTCTGAGATAACTTGTTTTCTTGCAGACGTTTCATGACCCTAACTAGGTAACATTTAGAAGGGAGTGTGGTTTGGGGGGGGGGGCAGAGGAGGAGGAGGAGGAGGACGACGACGACGACGACGACTGTGGGGTCCTTGGTGCTCTCCGAGCTTGTTGGTTTTCTTGCAGACGTTTCATGACCTAACTAGGTAACATCATCAGTGTTAGAAGGGAGTGGGATTTGGGGGGGGAGGAGGAGGAGGAGGAGTGTGGGATCCTTGGTGCTCTCTGAGCTTGGTTGCTTTCTTGCAGACGTTTCATGACCTAACTAGGTAACATCATCAGCATAGTATGCTACCATTGATGATGTTACTTACCGTAATTTGGGTAACGAAACATCTGCAAGAAAACAAGCTTAGAGAGCACCAAGGACCCCTTAAATACAATGGTTAATATCACCTGATCCAGCCAGCTGGATTCTACTTTGGTGCTTGTTGTGATAAAAGAAATATCTCTACATTTTATAGGTTCTATGCTGCTGAAATCATCTGTGGATTGCAATTCCTTCATTCCAAAGGCATCATCTACAGGTAGGGATTTTTTTATTTGTTTACTTTAATCCTGAAATCTTGCCATTCCCAAATCAAAGATTAGAGTGCAGAGAGCTGTAAACTTGGAGGGTTCCCTGCAGATTCTTATTGTTGTTCTGGTGGTTGTTGCCCACATTTTGATTGCGTGACCAGGGGGATGCTTCAACAGTTGTAAGTGTGAAAAACGGTCATAAAATCACTTTTTTTCCGGTGACATTGCAGCTTTGAATGGCCACTAAATGAATGATTGTTAAGTTGAGGGCTATCTCAATTATGTATGTTCACAGCCAGGAGGTACAAGGGTACCTTGGTACTCAACTGCTTTGAAAACCATTGAATTTGCTATTCAACGCATTTTGACTGGAAAAATTGGTCCAGGTACTCACCGTTCTGTTTGATACTCAACGGACAAGCTAGCACTTGTTGCTCTCAGCTGCCTTGTGACCCACTACGTCGTTCCTTACGGGAAAGATGGGTTTGGTACTCAATGTTTATGGTACTCATTGCACCAATTAATGATGAGTACCGAGGTACCACTGTACTTCCAAAAGAATTAAGAAAGGTGGGATATAAATCAAATAAATAAATAGATGTTAGGCACAAGGAGTGGCAGCTGCAATGGATTGGGAAATAGCGATAGCACTTAGAATACCGCTTCACAGTGCTTTACAGCCCTCTCTAAGCTGTTTGCAAAGTCACCATATTGCTCCCAACAATCTGGGTCCTCATTTTACCGACCTCGGAAGGATGGAAGGCTGAGTCAACCTTGAGCTGGTCAGGATCAAACTGGTGGCAGTCGGCAGAATTAGCCTGCAGTACTGCATTCTAACCACTGTGCAACCACAGCCCTTCCTTCCTTCCTTCCTTCCTTCCTTCCTTCCTTCCTTCCTTCCTTCCTTCCTTCCTTCCTTCCTTCCTTCCTTCCTTCCTTCCTTCCTTCCCACTTACCAATAGTACTTAGACTTATATACCACTTCACACTGCTTTACAGCCCTCTCTAAGCCATTTACAGAGTCAGCATATTGCCCCCAACCATCGGGGTCCTCATTTTACCGACCTCGGAAGGATGGAAAGCTGAGTCAACGTTGAGCCGGTCAAGATCGAACTGCTGGCAGTTGGCAGAATTAGCCTGAAGTATTGCATTCTAACCACTGTGCAACCACAGCCCTTCCTTCCTTCCTTCCTTCCTTCCTTCCTTCCTTCCTTCCTTCCTTCCTTCCTTCCTTCCTTCCTTCCTTCCTTCCTTCCTTCCCACTTACCAATAAGACTTATATACCACTTCACACTGCTTTACAGCCCTCTCTAAGCCAGTGGTTCTCAACCTTTCTAATGCCGCGACCCCATAATACAGTTCCCCATGTTGTGGTGACCCCCAACCACTTATACATCACCGGGTACCAGGGGCGTGGCCAAAGAAAAGGGAAAAAAATGGCGGACAGCCTTGTTTGGCGACCCCCGTGAAATGGTCGTTCGACCCCAAATGGGGTCCCGACCCACAGGTTGAGAACCACTGCTCTAAGCAGTTTACAGAGTCAGCCTGTTGCCCCCAACCATCGGGGTCCTCATTTTACCGACCTCGGAAGGATGGAAAGCTGAGTCAACGTTGAGCCGGTCAAGATCAAACTGCTGGCCGTCGGCAGAATTAGCCTGCAGTACTGCCTTCTAACCACTGCGCCATCAAGGCTCTTAAATGGAAATGGAGAAGAGTATCTTACGTTACCCCCCCCCCCAAAAGGGACTTTTAAAGGAAAAGATCTAACTTTTCAAACTCTTTCAGAGACCTCAAGCTTGATAACGTTCTCCTCGACAAAGAAGGCCACATCAAGATTGTTGACTTTGGAATGTGCAAAGAGAACATGTTAGGGGATGCTAAAACCAGCACCTTCTGTGGGACCCCCGATTATATTGCCCCTGAGGTAGGTGGGCCTTTTTCATCCAAAAAAAAAAAAAAAACATATCAAGGACAGTTGCTGGAATTGGGTCTCGTCTAGTTTAATGAAGAGAAGGACCAGGGGTGACATGTTAACAGTGTTCCAATATCTGAGGGGCTGCCCCAAAGAAGAGGGGAGTCAAGCTATTCTCCAAAACATCTGAAAGCAGGACAAGGAGCAACGGATGGAAAATAATCAAGGAGAGAAGCAGCCTAGATCTAAGAAGAAATTTCCTGACAGTGAGAACAATTAACCAGGGGAAGGACTTACCTCCAGAAGTTCTGAATGCTCCGACACTGGAGGCTTTTCAGAAGAGATTGGACAACTATTTGCCCAGAATAGTAGAGGGTGTCCTGCTCAAGCAGGAAGTTGGACTAGAAGACCTCCATCTCTTCCAACTCTATTATTCTATGTTCTAAAACACGTCCCATCATTCTTGGGAACAATGCAAAATGATTAAGGGCTGTGTGCTTAGTACACAATGTACAATAATTGTATATCTTGCCTTCAGATGGCTTGATTCCAGAAGCTGTGGGTGCTCCATCACTGGGGGGTTTCAAGAAGAGATTGGACAACAATTTGTCCAGAATAGTATAAGGCAGGGGTAGGCAACCTTAGCTCTTTTATGACTCGTGGACTTCAACTCCCAGAATTCCTGAGCCAGCCATGCTGAGGGGAAAGGGAGAGGTTTCCAAGCTGAGCCACGCTGGCTCAGGAATTCTGGGAGTTGAAGTCCACGAGTCATAAAGCGGCCTAGGCCTAGGCCAGGGTTGGGAAACCTTAGCTCTTTTATGACTTGTGGACTTCAACTCCCAGAATTCCTGTGCCAGCCATGCTGAGGGGAAAGGGAGAGGTTTGCAAGCTGAGCCATGCTGGCTCAGGAATTCTGGGGGTTGAAGTCCACAAGTCTTAAATTAGCCAAGGTTGAGGATATAGGGCAGGGGTGGGGAACCTTGGCTCTTTTATGACTCGTGGACTTCAACTCCCAGAATTCCTGAGCCAGCCATGCTGAGGGGAAAGGGAGAGGTTTCCAAGCTGAGCCATGCTGGCTAAGGAATTCTGGGAGTTGAAGCCAAGGTTGCCTACCTCTGGCCTAGGCCTAGGCCGCTTTATGACTCGTGGACTTCAACTCCCAGAATTCCTGAGCCAGCATGGCTCAGCTTGGAAACCTCTTCCTTTCTCGTCAGCATGGCTGGCTCAGGAATTCTGGGAGTTGCAGTCCACAAGTCATGGAGGGGCCATAGTTCCTCCATGCTGGCTCAGGAATTCTGGGAGTTGAAGTCCACCAGTCATAAAAGAGCCAAGGTTTCCTATCCCTGGTATAGGGTCGCCTGTTCAAGCAGGGTGTTGGACTTGAAGATCTCCAAGGTCCCTTCCAACTCTATTATTCTGCCCAATTTATTCTGGTCATAAATCAGAATCAGAGATTCAGAAAGAATCAGAAAGAGAAAGAAGGAGTTTGAGAATCCTACCAGATTGGGGCCATTCGTCTTGAATGATGTCGCTGAAATTTTTATTAACATCTTGCTGGATTCAGGATTTTTTCATGATTTAATTG